CTAATTCGAATTAGGAGGGTAGTGTAGACATACCCACCGAGTTTAATTTTGGATTAAAAACTGAGAAGTCATAGCTGATAATGTGTATCCAGAGGCTCAGACGCAAAGGCTGAAATGTATTTAGAATGCTAAAAGATACTGTAGAAAACTGAGTAAATTTACAACCTGTTCTTTTTTAATAAACATTTTACCATCCCTTTTTAAAATTGGAAGAGGGTCTTCCTCAGACTATGGAAAATGAAAACAGACTATTTTTAAAGATATAAATAAAGTTATTTTAACCACAAAATATTTGTACTTTTGAGACCAAGGGTAACATTGAGTAATCTTTAAAAATCTATTGCTCAGCGAGGATAAGTCCATTGTCCAGTGACATGACTTTTCCTGTCAATCACAAAGGTGACAAGGGGGCTAGATTAAGTAAAGCTTGCCCAAGATTAACAAAGGAAGATTATTGACCTCATCCTGAAAGGGCAGAAGCCTGTTTTATCATTAAACCTTGGAAGAGAGATTTGTCCATAGGTGGCAACTTTCATATAAACGACAAACTGTTTTGAAGGGACTCTTGCTTCTGAATAGAACCAGAAGGCTTAAATTTTGGATAATTCTATTTTTCATTGTTGGTGGGGATGAGGGAAGAAAATGGACCATCCAGAATGACCTTCTCAGCAGGATCTCTGTAGGTTCCTGACTGCCATCTAAAGTGGAGAAAACAACAAACGGCTGCATCAGGTGTGTGGGTGAGTACTGTCCCAGTTTGGAGTTTGATTGAATGTTGTGTCAGCACACATTAGCAAGCAATTCACAACATAAATGAACAATGGACCCCCATACACAAAACAGCTGCTAACTGCATAAAACTGTTACAGGGATTAACAGAGCCAGAGGCTGAAATGTAATCAAATTTGAACTGGTGAAATTGTTACATAGGAGACAGAGAGTATTCCTGGGTGAATTATCAACAGCATCTAGTTTTCTACTGTTGTAGTGACTGGGGTTTGTACCACTTATGAGGTCTGCTGAATTTCCATGATTTTCCTACCTTAACAAGTAGTTAGAGGACTTGGTACATGCTTTTTTAAAATCATGTGTCCTACAAAACTGTACAGTGTTTGTTCCCCCCCGCAAACTGAGTAAAATGTGTGTTTTTTGTCTTTGCAAAGGACAGACTTGCTGAGACTTATTCATTCAAAGGGAAACTTTCCTCCATTGGGATTAATTTTAGGCAGTTTCTGAAGTTTTGTCCTCTTGCCATTAAGGATTTTTCAGGGTGTTGGCATTGAGATGTTTAAAGTCTTATGAATAATGTTTCCAGAATTCTCTCACTTAAAGTTCCTTAGTTTCGTACAGCTCTTGGCATGTTCCCCATAAACATGAGTGAGTTGTTATAGAAGTCTTTCTTCTTTTTTAAGCATTGAAAGATGTAATAGGTCTGAAAGGCTTTGTCCAAATAAAGATGTGAAATTAAATAGAAGTGAGTAAGGCAAAATAAAGACAACAATTGAGCATTGCAGGCATTTGTGCTGAATAATCATAGGATAAAATCATGGCTGGTCTGATAGAGGATATAGGCTCACCTCAATATGCTGAAGTTTACATGTGAAACGCTCATTGACATTGAGAGGTACAATGAGCACGCACCCCGTGCACTGGGAGGAGAATATTCTTTTTAGATTGCAAATTTTTTTGGATGAATAATTCACTGTACTTTAATTTGTCCCAAAAGGTTTGAATGCTACTATGGCCCTACTTTATTCATATTTTAATTACGTGTAGTCTACATTAAGAACCTCCTGGGCATGACTAGTCCATATATGTGATATTGAAACACTGTATATGCATATACATAAACTGAGTGGGTTCAACAAAGAGTGAAAATACTTTACTGTTGCATCAGGAATTTTAAAATTTAATTTAATACACATGATACAGTTATGTGATATATGGTCATTTGAAATGCACGGGTATTAGGTCTGAATGCATAGTGGAAAAAAATAATTCAGTCTTACTGTATTGGTTTGTATGTGGCCTTCCTCCCATCAGCGAAGTGTCTGATCACCTCTCATTAATAGATTTATCCTTAAAATATCCTAGCAAAATAAGGAAGTATTACTGTCATCCCTGTTTTAGCAAGGGGAAACTCAGATGCAGAGAAACTTGCCCAAGGTCACACAGGAAGTGCAGAAGAGCCAAGATTTGAAACCAGATGACTTGAGACTTAGTCCAGTGAATTAATCACAACACTGTTCTTCTCTCTTGATTCAGTTTTTCCCCCTGAACATATAGCTCATATAATTTTTAATAAGAACCATGCCACGTAGTTTATAAAATGTAAGAAGTTGCCATGCATTTCACTGTATCTTTCTTCAGTAGCTGCAGTCCTGAATATGCAACCCAAAGCTATAATTAAATCAGTACAAAAGAAAAGAGAAACAAGATCAGTTTTTAGCTGCTCGACCCATCAAAAATAATTACAAAATGTATGAGAGGAGTCAAGCTATTTAGGCCCCTGTTGCAAATACAGTACTTTTGTTCCTCTGATTTGTGAACCATGCAAAAATATGTTTGAATATCTCTGGTTAACAACATTTGCTCCTGGAACCACTTGATGGTGTAGACTGGGTCAAAAACTGTGTAACAAAGGAGAGAATTGGTTTTTTTTTTTTTTGTCTTGGTAGGGCAAACAAGTAAGTTTTCCAGAACATTATTAACATTGTTATTGCTTGACAACAGGTATGAGTGATGGGCAAAACTTGAACTAGTACTGAAGATGAGTAAAGTACACATATACACCAATGGCTGAATATATTGTAATCTAATCTACACTTGCAGTATAATTATATTCTCATCCAAATTAGCTCTACCTGTTTTTGAAACCAGTTGGTAGCAACAGATAACTTTCCATGGGTAGACCAAACTTGCTCAAGCAAAGAGGAGAGTTTTCATCAGCTGGAGTTAGAATATCTTTTTATGTCCAGGTCCCAAGTTCACTGAGGTGACTAGAAAGGCTTTGGTTGCAGTGGTCTTTTGATCAGGCTTTTGGAGTACTGTACATGATAAGCCAACTTCTGATTTCATTTAGATAATGTATTGAAGTGCCTATACTTTTACCGATATAAGTGGGTAGAGCTGTTTAATATCTTTTTCACACGGGCTACGTCTAGACTGGCATGATTTTCCGGAAATGCTTTTAACGGAAAAGTTTTCTGTTAAAAGCATTTTCAGAAAAGAGCGTCTAAATTGGCAGGGATGCTTTTCCGCACTTTTTGCGGAAAAGCGTCCGTGGCCAATCTAGACATGCTTTTGCGCAAAAAAGCCCTGATCGCCATTTTCATGATCGGGGCTTTTTTGCGCAAATCAAATCTCAGCTGTCTACACTGGCCCTTTTGCGCAAAAGGGACTTTTGCTCGAATGGGAGCAGCATAGTATTTCCGCAAAAAGCACTGATTTCTTACAGTAGGAAGTCAGTGCTTTTGCGGAAATTCAAGCGACCAGTGTAGATGGCTGGCAAGTTTTTCCGGAAAAGCGGCTGATTTTCTGGAAAAACTGGCCTGTCTAGATACAGCCAAGAAGTTTTTTCATTTTAAAAGCAGGACATTTTTCCAAAAATGACATATTCTATGAAAAATTGTCAACATTATTGAAACTTTTCAAGAAATATTACATTGTATATTTTACTAAAAGGGTTATAGAAATGTTTCAGTTACACAAAACTACATTTTCTTGCTGAAATCTTGGGTTTTCAATAAATGAGGACTATTGAAAATTATGTGGATTTTGTATTTTATTTGGTTTTTGTGAAAACAGTTTCACAAAAAATGGAAAGTGTAAAAAATGTTTTTAAATTGTCATGATTTTTTCAGCTAGCTCTGTAACTGAGAACTGAATATGGTCCACTGACTTCATCAGTAATGGAAATATTTATCAGACATTTTATACAACTACATAATGAAATACTTAGTTCATTTAAGAGCTAAGAATATGAAAAGAACCTGAACAGAAGAAAATATTTAAAATAGACCATAGAAATAATTTATTTTGTGACAATACATAATATAGTATGAGATGTAACAAATTAAGGACCTGAATTAAAATTGAAGGAACTAATAATCTATTTAAACTTAACTATGCACGTAAGTGTTGGCAGGGTTGGTTTCTAAAGTAATAGCAGAAGAAGAAAGAATTTAAGAGGAATATGCCAGAGGGAGAAAAGCGATTTAAAATGAATAGGGAGCTACTTTATGAGCCTGGAGCTGCAGAGGAGAAGGCTCTCATATTAATGGAGGCAAGTTTGTATGTATCAGATCTAGAGCTGTTATCCATTAAAGTCAATGAGATTGCTCCTGTTGACTTTAGGAAGATTATGCCTGTATCTTAGGAGTTTATGCAGTGTGTCATGAGGACCACCCTTGTGAAAAATATCATCTTTAAAAAGAAAGAGAGGGTATGAGATGGAGGAGGAGAAAAGAAAATGAATTAGAAGCAGTAAAATGATTGCTTCTTTCCTTACCGATGGGAGAGCTACTTGAACTGTGAGTTGAAAAAATCATATAGTGCCGGGATTTAATAGCTGATTATTATTTCATTTCTAACAGCAACTAGCCATCATGGCATTAAGTGCTTTAAAAAGGCAGGAAATTAATTATCCTAGGGAAAAAAAACCTGAAGATTGTACATAGAAAGCTGTAGAAGAGCAAACAATTAAAGGTAATCAATACCATTGTTATTAGAAAACCTATGAGTGCAACACTTCTCCTCAATTAGAGAAAAACTGTATTTTATGTTTCTCTCCTACAAGCTGATCTTTGCTCACTTCAGCCTGTAATCTTGGTTTATCCTTTACCAAGAGACTTTGTTCTGGGTGGTTTTGAAGCATTGCATTTCTTTTTAAAGGTTTCACCAAAAGAACAAACAGCAATGAACTCCAAGAACAAAGGGGTTTCATTTCTTTCTGTCTTTTCTTCTTTTTCAAGTTTCATCTCATGTTTCTCTTTTTTCAGGAAATTGATGGCAATAAAGTGATGTCTTCATTTGCCCCGCACAACTCATCTACCTCACCCTTGAAGGCAGAAGAAGGTGGGCGTCAGAGTGGAGAGTCATTGTCCAGCACAGCCCTGGGAACTCCTGAAAGGCGTAAAGGCAGCCTAGCAGATGTTGTAGACACCTTAAAGCAAAGAAAAATGGAAGAGCTCATAAAAAATGAGCCTGAAGGTAAGGCCTGGGAAATGGACCAACATTTCATTTTCATTCTTCCAGGCTCTGTCAATTTTGGATATCTATTCTAGGGGTATTAGGAAGAGGGTAATTTTCTAATCGTGTAGTCAATAGAATTTTTATCGACTACATGATTAGTTGATAAGGGAAGGCAATTAAAGCGCTCAGTCCCAGCATGTGCCAGGTCAGGGACCAAGTCCCGCTGCAGCTCTGCATTACATTTTAGCCTGGCTCCTAGTGCTTTTTAAATGCAGAGCTGCACTGGGGGGTAGGTCCAGGACCCAATGCAAACTGGGACTGAGCCAGGCTGCCTACCCGCCCAGCTCCTACTATGTTTTAAATGCAGTGCTGCAGAAAGAGTTGGTCTCCTGCTGCTGTACGGCATTTAAATGCGTATAGTCAATAGCAGTGTTTCTTAAACTGTGTTCCGCGGCACACCTGTGTGCAGCGAGGCAGTCGGAGGTGTGCCGTGGAGAACAATAGAATTCAAAATGGCCGCTCTTAATGGGGCAGGCGACTTTTTTTTCTCAATAACTTTCCCCCAACCCTTTTTTTTCCCAATAACTTTCCTTTTTTCCCCTCAATAACTTCCCCCCCCCCCCCCAACCTTTTTTTTTTTTTTTTGCGCTCAACAAAATATTCTTGGTGTTCCTCATAAAAAAAATTGTGTTTGGTATTCCTCGATCTTAAAAAGTTTAAGAAACACTAGTCAATAGCATTAACCAATACCTTTTTGCTCATCAGTTAATCGGTTAACCGACTACACTATTCCATTCCTAATCCATCCATCCATCTCCTGCTCTTGTTGCTGGCAAAATGGAAGTATGTGTCTTGTCTACACTAGGGCTAACATTCACAGGTATCCCACCATTTCATCAAAACCGTTTAAACTTTTCCCCAGCTCTACTCTGCTGTATATGGGCTAGCTGCCTCCACTTCTCTAAGTATGATGTCCTCTAGCCTGGCTGAGAAGCAGGTCTAATGGATGTGCTGATTGCTACAGTGGCGACAGCCCATGGCCTATCTACATTAGAGCTACTGACATTGCTAACACTCATGAACTGAAAACAGTGATCTCAAGGATGGCAAACTTTGGAAAAAAACAACCCCACTTGTAAATACAGAACCAGTGGTTGAAGGGCTGATTGTGGAATTTAGTAATCATGAATGGTCCTGGATTAAATGTGCCCTAAATCATCTCATTTATCTTTGGAACAGATACTGTGCAAACAGATGTATTAGCAGTTACCCCTGTGCTGCTCTGGAATTCATGATATCCCTGACATTCAGGGCCCATCTCTAGGAGATGATAGTTGACTCTCTGTGCCCTTTCTACCCTTGGCTCCACTGCCAGAGATATCTGCCACCTGTATATGGGCGATGGCTATCAAAGTCTGGGGAAAAATGTGACTCCCCAAACAGTCTATGTGGTCTAATGCATGGGCCTCCTTCTGCTTTCTACTGGTGCTCTGTGGGGGCAGTGTATTGGGGGCCCATCTCTAGGAGATGATAGTTGACTCTCTGTGCCCTTTCTACCCTTGGCTCCACTGCCAGAGATATCTGCCACCTGTATATGGGCGATGGCTATCAAAGTCTGGGGAAAAATGTGACTCCCCAAACAGTCTATGTGGTCTAATGCATGGGCCTCCTTCTGCTTTCTACTGGTGCTCTGTGGGGGCAGTGTATTGGCTGTCGGGGGGGGGCGGTTTTTGTCCTCCCCCCCCCCCCCCATGGCTCTAGGGCAACCGATGGCCAGGGACTCCAGGAGGCTGGAGTCGTGCTCATGTAGCCTGTCTACCCACTGTGCCGGGCCTGGGGGACCTGCACTGCCTGCCTTCCTGGTATTGGGCGGTTTGGGGGGTGGCCTGTGGGCTGGGGCCATACTGCTCACCCTCCCCATGCTCTCAAGCTAGGCAGGGGGACTGTGCCACCCACCTGGCACTTCAGGGACTGCCTATTTTCCACCGCTGGGAGCACTTGGGTGGCTGGTGTGAGCAGCTGACAGCCATGGGGGCTTCCTTTAGGCTCTGATGGGGAAGGAGGCAGGGCCTCAGACAGCAGGGTGGGGGCCTCAGGCAGAAGAGGCAGGCTGGCCTAGAGGCTAGCCTCCCCCAGACCATGGTTCACCTCCACCAATGCATCGGGACTCTAGGAACTGACTGTAGAACACCAAGTCATTTCATAGAGGCCACAGAACAGACTTCAGATGGGAAATATTTTCAGTCACTGTCAATGGCACAGGATTTAAGCCAGTGATCTACAGGTGACCGTCTCCGTGTCCCATTACGGTACTCTGAGCCATCTGGAAAATATCATTGTAACTGGTGGATTTTCAAAGTGTTTGTCACTCTTATATGAACCCACTGCTCCTGATTCCATAGTGTCCTTGAAGTATTAATTATCATCTGTTTTTGTGTCTGCCAGTCCCTTTTCAATAGTTTGTTTTAAAAGTGGAAAACCCTCAGCCACAGAGCCCCCCAAAAGCTCCTTCTGCATTGGAAGGAAATGGGCTGACAAAAAAGCAAAGAGAAGTGTAGTTACACTCTCATACACGTGACATGACTGTAAATTAGTCTTCTCTTCAGTGGGGCCCACGGTGAGCGTCTGCTGGAGAAGAAATGCTTTGTTTAATAACCATTTTTTGAAAGGCGTTAAATATATTTGCTTTCACCACAGACATTGTGGCTAATGTCATGACCTTCCTTGTGCTGTGGAGTGGGAAAGACTTCTACAGCTTGGCTACTGTGTGTGGGGCAGTGAGGAAGAGGCAAGGTTGTTTAGTGGATGGGGAAGAGAAGTGTTTTCTGGTCATCGTGTAAATACAGTGTTGAGTAGGAAGTTGTGTATGCTCCAGAGATTCCATTAAGGAAAGGCCACAGATAGAGCTGAGAGTGGTTACAGTGTCTATGCATTTTCTCATCTCCACTAAAATGAAAATATACAGTACAAACAAAAGGTCTGCAGCTTTCTAAAAAGATTAGAGGGGGAGGGAGGGGGAGCAACTCAATGTTGGGCTTTACAAATGTATGCAACAGAAAATCTTTTCTTCCCTCTAGCCATTGTTCTATTGTCTTTCAAAGGCCATTAAAATGAACAGCAGGTTGTGATGAAAATTTCATTAAGCCCTAGTTAAATCATTATGAGGGTGCCATATTCATGTCTCTGTTTCCTCCCCATCCAGAAATAAAAAGAAAAAAAGAGGGTTGTTGTGTTGTTTTGTTTTGTTCTACTCCTCTTTTCCCTAAAAGCAAACTAACAAAAGTTCAGAAGTTGGAAGAGAATGGGAAATGGGGCATCAAACAAAAGGAGGCCACTGAGGTGAGCTGGCTAGGAAAAAAATTAGACTTGCATAAGAGCATTAAAATGTGGTAAGGAGGGAATATGTCATCTCAGCAAGCTCTCTTCCCCCCCTTGCTCCAGTCAGCATGAATTTTTTTAAGTGGCTAATTAAATTTTTATCTTTGTGGGGTGTGGAAGGCAAACCACTTTCAGTTGTTTTTAAAAAACCCTCCACAAAACAATGTTGTCTTAAAAAAAAATTAGCTTGCCACTGCAACTACTTTGTGTTAACCCTTTCAGAAAGTATTTTTGTTACTTTTTTTTTTGTATATTCGGTATTATAGCTGTGTGTGTAGTATCCTGCATTCCAGGATATTAGCGAGACAAGATGATGAGGTAATATCGTGTATTGGACCAGCTTCTGGTGGTGATAAAGATGAGCCCTTGGCCTGAAGAAGAGCTTCATGTAGCTCAAAAGTTGGTCCCTTAACACCATGGGAAGTTGATCCAATAAAACATGTTACCTTACCCACCTTGTCTTGCTAATCTTTTATTGACACCATTCAAGTGGGTAGATGTCAGCCATTGCTTGTTGCTAATCAAATCATTAACAGTTCATGTTTTTTCCCTAGATATGTGCAATATCTAATTATACATGTAGGTAATAACTCAACAGTGGGTGATGCTGTATGTCTCAGCACAAAATTTTAATCCTGAAAGTACAGGACCTTGCACAATGATCTTAGCTGGGCATGATTGTAATAATAATACATAAGAATAATTAGTAACAATAATTAGTGACAATACCTGTTTTCTTTCTTGGGAAGAGAAACAATTGCACTAGTGATAGCTTAAATCAAATAGTTTCTTTTACTCTTCCTGAGTGCAGATATAAACTAGATTTCTGTTTCTTTATGTATCCATTCTATCTTTTGAAAATATATTTTGAATCACTCTAGTATACTTGAAACATTCAAAGAACAAAGTATGAGCAGATTCACCTTAGCTAGTTTATATCACTGTCACTGATATCTCCAAAAGATTTCTAATGAAGACTTTTGGCCATGTGTTGTGCATCTGGTCATTAACATAAAAATGACATTTAATGGTGCCTCGCACTAGAGTTTGAGAGAGTTTCCACCTTACAACTGCCTGGTGCAAATCTGCAGGTAATGCCTCTGTTAACATTTACAGTGGCACATCACAGTACCATGTCATGATGTCCCGAAATTAACATTTCAGTGTGGTGACATAATGGTATGTGATACTGTATTCATTGTGACACTGATCTGACGTGATGCAATATCATTGTACAGTGCAAGCTGCAAAATATCTGTTCCGTTCCTGGAATAGCTGGCATGTTAAGGTTACAGGGCGTGTATGGTTCCTTCAAAATTGTCTTTTGGTCCTGATCTAAAACAAATTTAAAGACATCAAAAAAAAAAGTATTTGCTAGTTCAGGTGCTGATTGCCCTCAAAATTATATGGATTTTAATGATTTTACCAAACATATTACAGTGTGTGGGTTGTGGTAGGAGCAGGAGTATCATTCCTTTTAAGAAAATATTTTGTGGCTAGAGATGGATATGTATATATTATGGTGAAATATTATTTTGTTGAATACTTGCACTTGTAAAAGCCCGACTTGAGGAAGCCAGTGTATATAGTGTTTCCTCAGAAATTTACACAGGATGGTTGGTTTGCTTTTTCTTTTTTCC